CAGGCAGCACTTCAACGCCTACATGGTGAGATTCCGCATGGAAACCCTCTATGATAGAATCCACGACGAAGTTGAACAAAAATGGGGAAATCGGGCAACCCTGACTATGCCACTTGTGGTCGGAAAGCTATCCGATAGGCTGCCGTAGACCCTGACGCGGCCTGTAGTGTTCGGGTATATAGCACGTAGGATGTTCACATATTTCGTGGGAACACCTTTCCACCCAAGTATTCGGAATAGAATGGATCGATCGTCTGAATCAAACATGCTCTTGAAATCGAGGAACACAGCTATTGCCGGTCTGCGGTATGCGTGGTGTTGCTCTAGCACCTGCCGCAAAGTGAATATGTGGTCTATACAGCCGCATCCTGGGCGGAAACCTGCCTGTTCTTCCCTAATCCGAGATTCCCGTTCCGCAGTGAGGCGACGAACGATAATCGAGACAAGTAATTTTGTCACAACTGGCGTTAGGCTAATACGCTTGTGATTAGAACAGTCTGTGCGACTGTCCTTCTTGTATATTTTCACCATAATCGATTCGTTTCAATTAGTCGGGACACTTCCTTCCAGATACGTTGGAATAGGGAGGTCAGTGCTTTGCAGAGGACTTCACATCCATCCTTAAATAGTGCAGGTGGGAGGGAATCCGGGCCAGCGGCACGAAAACGTTTGAGTGCTGTGATCGCGTTTCGGACCTCAGCCACCGACGGAGGCTCTAAATTAACCGTCCATGGCTCGTCCTACATCACCTGAGTAGGAAGAGGTCCGGGAGCAGGGGGCCAGCTGAACCGATCTTGAAAGTGTTCCGCCCAACATGCCATACGGTGCTGCTTATTGTGTATCAGCGCACCCGCGCTGTATCTGATCGTCTCACTGACGCCTGGTTTCCTGGGACCATTACCAGGGATCAGCTGGAAGAGCTTGCGGTAATTGCCTACTGCTCCTGCATCCTCCATTTCTTGAGCCCGACTGGTCCACCAGGCTTCCTTGTCAGCACGTAGGCTCTGCTTTAGTTCACGCCTAATAGCCCATCTGGTCACATTGTGTTCAGAGCCAGCCGGGAGGTTTCTTCTGGATTCCAACAGGTTCATCGACCTCACGGATATCCAGTGACTGGTGCGTTGATGATGGATAGTGCTACAAGCAGATACCCCTGCGTGCTGCATGGCGGCCGAGATCCTATACCACTGAAGCTCAGTGTTATTAGAACAAGACAGCTAAAGTTCGATACGCAATGCGTCTTGATAGGCTTTCCTGACCCAGGGCTGAGACAATTTCTCAGTTGCCACTCGGAGAGGACACTTGGTGCGCCTTCCGGTAAAGTTCGTGGAGAAACGATAGCGTACCAAGGCATGATCACAGTCGACACAGGTACTCCAGTACGAGCGGCAATCCAGGATGGAACCACGTCACCTGTAACTTATGGCTAGATGGTCAATTTGGGTCCACCGCTGGCCAGCTACAGGAGAACGCCAAGTGGCACTTCGGCGCCCACTGTATCTAAAAGCAGCGCTACTAAGAAACAACTGGTGCTCAGCACACAGTTGCAGCAGACGCTCACCGTTGTCAGTCCGTTCTGAGTTAAGCCCACAATTACCACCCAGCTGAGCTTCTGAAGAGCTCAGACGCCCTACTTTGCGTTCATATCCCCTGCAAGTACTATAATATCTGAACTAGTAGCACTGCGTAGTAGCGCGTTCAGTTCGTGATAGAATGTGTCCTTGACAGCATTTGAACTGCAGTCGGTGGGAGCATAAGCGAAAATCACAAACAAACAGCGTTTTGTACTACTTCTTGCATCAACCTTAGCTGATGTCGTCAAACGGATTGCACATAAACGGCTGTTCACCGGAATCCAACCAACCAACGATGGTTCAGCCTTGGAGCTGAGAATGATACCTACACCAGCTTGACCCGTGAGCGCTGCATCGGCGTCTCCGGATGCGTGCAACCAATAACAAGAGGATAAGCCGGGTGTAGTTAATTCAATAACCCCGTTAGGGTCATTGATCCTAGTTTCGGACACGCAACACGCATCAATACCCAGTGTGTCCAAGGTGCGTGCGAGTGCAGCCTGTTGACCTGCTTGTCTTAGTGTGAGAACGTTGAACGTCGCCATCGAAACGCGACAGCGTGACCTTATAACGGACTTTTGCCGATAGGTGCTATGGAATTGTAGTTGCAGGTGGTTCTACTCCAGTGGCACTTTGGTTGTTGTCAATTAAGGTGGGAATTATAGAAGGAAGGTTAGTAATGTGGGTCGTGATGGGAGTGAGGGAAACAAGTGAAAAAGTGTAAAGCGAGGCGCCAGCAGTAGCATGTTTTCGCTTATCCGCCCTGCTGTATGCAGCAGATAAGGCGACCCTTGATAATCTGCGCGACGTCCGATGCAGGATGAAGTTTATGTTTGAAGAAGATGTCATGGTTGTATGTGGGCTGGAATACTGCCAGGGCGCCCAGACCTAGACAGGAGGACGATTAGGGTCCTCATCCAAAGCCTTTGGCTCAAAAGCCTGTCCGCAAGGCAGCGGGGAGGTGGCAAAGATTTAGTTTTACAGAATTGGATACCATTCCATTTCAAACCCTCAACCTGGAGTACCAGGAGACTGAGTTTGTCTGACCTCTCACCATTGACCAACCTGGTAGGAGTAGCTCTCAAAGTGCCCGGAGGCACCACCCAGTTTAGCTCAATGGGTCAATGAGGTACGCAAACCGTCGCATCACGGTAATGTCTAACGGTCCCCACGAGCCCATGGCACAACAGTAGCAGCAGTAGGTAGACAATCTGCCAGGATCTAACCACCACCAGCCTCAGCGCACCATAGGCTCTCCCACCTACATACTTTCATATACGCCTACCATCTTTGCCCCCACCCATCTACTACTGATAAACTTGTACCATTATTTATTCACCTGTCCTTAATGTTTATATTGCCGTGATCTTACCCATGCAAGCGTGTTTCGTATTGTCGAGAATAAAACGTTAATTTATTTATTTACTGAGCCGACGTGCAGACTGACCCCAAAGCCACCGAACGGTTACTGGAGGCGGTTGGCATTTTTGTCTGTCTGTGTAACTGCACCATCCCTCCTGGTCAGATCACCGAAACTACTGCAAACCTTCGTACTTCCTAAGTGACAATCCTTAGCCTCAGTTGTCTATGTGTACGGCGTAACATCAAGGATTACGCAGTGACGACCTAGACGGGCCTGCTGTCTTTTCTCATCTGTTCCTACTTAGCGTTGTGCATACCCGTTTGGTCCACGGTGTAATTCACATGTCCTTCGCTTTGTGTCGCGCAAGATATCCTTTAGTACTGCACTGGATCCTGTTACACATTTGTCTCCATGTTAGCTGAATCTAATCGGCTACCCCAGCATGTAAAGACTACTACCGGGAGATTCGTTCCTTGGGATGCTTTTAAAAGGCATGTGACACTTTCGTGGGATCTCATGTAGTGGACGCGCACTTGCATGTCACCCACAAGTCACGTGACGGTGTCTGAGCTGGATCAGACAACGGACGGCAAGTTCACACCGGAGTTTGGGAACGCCACTGCAGTGTTTCTATTAAAGTAGGTGCCGGCGTCTGCACAGGATTCGGTTGTTCATCCATAAATACAGGGTTGCCTCTTTTAGACTACCGAATTAACAACAACTATCATCATGTGTCGATTAATGAGCTCTTCTTTGGCGGACTGATTGGGCTTTGCTAGCAGTTAGAAGATATTTACCGAAACAGTACCTAGCTGCACGAAACCCATGATGCTCGGCCGATACCAAAATGCAGAGGAAGTGATCGAAAACCCCGATCGAGCGCAGGTTGCTATTTTCCTAGATGAGTCCCACGGGGTCATGTGCATCAATGCCTAACCGTTGATCCCAATCTGGCTCAGCTGTAAAGATGATGGCGTTTTACATTCATTGTCTTACTCCCCGTTGATCACCTTATCAGCAAACAATCATGCTTTTCTCTTCATTCACTTACCTTTTAATTTCTACCTATTTGCGTTTCTGCCCCAGGTTTTTGTGGCCATTATCAAGTGTTTTTCGGCGGCACTTAGGACTGGGACCGTATACATTGCTTTGGGAATCAAAACAGAACATTGGTAATGGGTACTCTTAACTAGCAACCCCGTCATCTGCTATTTTATAATTTCTTCGTGTCTCTACTGGTATCTTGTCCGTAGCTCCAAGTCGTTGAGGTATTGGTATTACGTTAAGCAGAAATGTTTAAGCACACTACTTGGTTGTGGCCCGTGTGTGGTCCGGCTAGAGTAACCAGACCTAGTGAACAATTTCTAAAGATGTGCTCCATTGCAGCTTTTTCTTCTTTCTTTTTCTTTTCATTTTATTACCATGATTTGAAATAGGAGACAATATTCCTCCTTATTTAGCCTCAGGTGTCTACTCTTGATCACTTTAACTCACTGAGCCAAGCTCTGTACTCTTCCGCTCATTGTTTTATCAACCCGTTGTTCTTGATGCGTCGTAAGAACCGCTTCAGCATCCTTGTTCCTTCGGTCATCGGTGCATAGTCCTAAGCATTTTATGTCCACGGTAAAACCGGGCTTGGAAGTCGTTGGGCCCCGCTTCCTATTGCATACCAAATCCGTGAAGAGGTGTATCATGCATTCATTCGAGCCTCAATGTCATTTGGGCCGGTGCCTTTACTTGATCGAGAGACATTCTCCTCGAGACATTATCCCTAGTTTCTCCGATTCGCTTCAATTCGCGAGTCCGTACAAGTAATGGCATTGGTATCCCCGTGCAAATCTTCACGCATACGCTGCATTCCACACAGTGTATCTGAGTTACGAGTGTCATCGAAATGAACTTGCCGAGTGTACATAGGCTGCCGTTCCCTACCTTTTAACTTTTTGGGTGATTAACCCCCTAAATTTAGCCTAGGATTTCTATGGTGCATTACGTTAACTTGCAATACTTGAATTCGAAAGTCATTTTGTGTGATTGTTTTTCTACCGATCCTGTCTGATTTAGATTTCTTTGTAATCACCTGCTGGAACGAACTGCAAGTCATCTCCATCCTGAGATCACTGTTATTCAGTCTCTGCTACTATGAAGGCTGATATGTTGCGAAAGGAGGATCGCGATAAATGCTGGTCGGCTCGCGATAACTATTGGAATTGTGTGACGGAGTTACTGAAAAAACCAGAAAATAGAGAACTCAGAGAGAAAGAATTACGCAACCGATGTATTGGAGAACGAGAAGCATATGAGGCCATCTGCCCCGCAGTTTGGGTAATTCGCACTAGTTATTCGATATTCCTAAAAGCACTTATTTGTCTACCTTGTATTTATCTTGCCGACCTTCACTTTCCAGGACCTGTTTTCCGTTGCTTGCGTTGGAGTTCAGCACCTTTTGTAGTGTCTAATCCGTTGCGTTCTCAATATTCGTAATTTTACCCTTCTTGGCACTTTAATTATTCCATCGGTTTTGAATTTTGTGATCTGTTTATCAAATGTCTTCCCAGCTCGACTACCAGCGGCTTGTCTACTAGATGACACTGTGTATGCATAAATAAATTGTATATCCCCCGACGATGCGACCTGTTGTTGCCTAGAAGGAACAGATCGAAAATTGTTACATCCTTTCTATGCTATCGCATTAGTAATTTTTTATATGAGCCCAAATTTTAAGTTTAAGTAACACAAGGTAATCCCAATTGTTTTGATTATTTTTTTCTACTTATCGATGAATCAGGATTTTTCACAAGCACATGACAGATGCTCGGGCGGGGAAGGAATATGAAATGAAAGGGGCAGTGGTCCAAAAAATTATATCCATGTGTTGTTCGTTCTCGAAAGTATTATCCATGGATTATGATGTCCAGTGCATATTAATCACGTTTTGGACAGTTAACTGCCTACTGATCCCAAGCTTAAAATTACGCAGTGTACAATATGTTCTGATATCTCTTGGAAGTTTGTCCCAAATCTTCGATTAGTTGGCTAAAGACCATCTTGTGATTCTCGCAGTAAATTTTAGTATCGTTACCTTAATCTCTTTGTTGTGGATCGTGTATTTGCTGTTTAAAGACATGTGAACGCCTACATCAGAACTGAGCATTTGATGGCTTATGATCCTGTAAAGAAAACATAGGTTGAGCTTAATTCTCCGAAGCTAAACTTTGTCAAATCCAAGCTTATCACAACGCCCTCTGTACGCCATTCTTGTGGAATTGCTGCATAGCTTTTTCCTGAAGCTGGTAAGATTTTCTCAGAATCGATTGGACAAATGAGCATTATTCCATACAGGGCAAAACATGTTTTATACAATCAAATGCGAAATCGCAAATAAAATGTAATGGTATATGTATCCGATGGTCTTCGTGGCCTTCGAAACTTGGAAATCAAAATGTTCAGAAATGTTAAAGGTGACGGAATATCGCACCCCCAAATCGCGAACTGCCTTGCATTGCGAGATGTACGGCAGAATATTGCACTCTTCCACGGCAAATGACATTTGCCACAGTTGGCACCGGGAATCAAGTGCAGAGAGGTCATCCTGAATGAGGTACGGCGGCCTGTTCTTGTGAACAGACGTCTTTATTCTCACCAGCAAACACATCGTTAACATATGTGAGAAAAAGGAGTTGGCCAAGAACACTCCCTTGAATCACTCCACTGATGACCGCTTTCGGTTCATGGAAATGGTCGCCGACGCGCACCACCTGCTGTCTACCAACTAGATATGAGGACGGCCAAGAAAACTTTGCCTCTCCAATGCTTGTGGCCTTCAATCTGTTGAGTTACCTTCGATGACACGCTCTACCATAGGCTTTTTACATCTCCATGAACAAGGTTATAAGGCTATTTTCGTTATCTATGGCAGCCGTTGGGTGCTTTAAGAAGCCTGCCTAGCATGTTGCGCAAAGTCGACCGTGCTGCGACTTGCTGGTGATGTTGGCTTAGTTCAGGAAGATAAGTAGCTCGTCTTTCACTGTTCTCTCCATTACTCCACAAACGATAGGTGTGTGATTGATGGGGTGAGAGTTCTTGACCTCGTGAGCTGCTCCATTTTTGTGTCGTGGGATAACAACAGAAGTCATCCATTGAGTAGGATATACTCCGTTGTTAAAAGGGAGTGTTAATGTTTTGAGCAAACGCAAAGGTAAATCGCTACCGCTATTTATTAAATAGGGGGGGATTCCATCAGACCTTGCGTAAGTCGAGGAGCATAAGCGAGAGATTTGACCTGTGATTTTCGCAATAGCGAATACCAATGTGCCTAGACTTTTACCGATATGTGGACTGATAAACGCTGGTATGTCTGATGACACATTAACCATTGATTCGGTAAAATAAGCGCTGAAAGTTCACAAATACAAACTGGTACCTCGAAGTATGTTTCATTAGGCATGGTGATAAAACTGAAAGAGTTGCTGCGACGCGAACCCCGGGCACGGAATAGTTTAAATAGCTCAGTTGTGTTGCTAGGGTCCTTCAAAGCTTTATACCCTTTTAGAATGTGAGTTCTGTCATTTTGAGGCCTCAGTACTTCGCTCATTTTTGACTCCTAGAACAACAGCGCAAAGTTAACAGTTAGCCTGAATATCTGTTGGATCTTATGAAGCTTACGTACTGTCTTTAATACCTTGCGATCGGATTTACTTTTAGTTTGGTGGGCACATTATAGCGGTACTGCTATACTCTAAAATTATATTATACTATAAAATAGGTCCGCTGCTTGTTGAGGACATGAAGAGAAAGAGAACTTGTCCCAATTAATCGAACGAACCACGACCTAGAACGAGTTCTAGTTGACCGAATTGAATAAACAATAATGTATTGGGTGTTACACATTAGCCATGCATTGTCTTAGACAGCATTTGGCCATCCGATGATCGCTGCAAGAAAATTAATCAAAAACGTTAATATTTTAGCAGGTATGCCCGAAGTATATATGAGAATCAAAGTAATTTCACATCTGGTACGTGAAGCTTAACGAGCTGGTGTGTGTGAGTAATATGTAGGCTCACACCTGACCATCGCTTTCGATTTGTTCAAAGGTACAAGTTGACCTGCCTTTTTGATTCCCACAATCTATTCACTAAATATAACTCCACTACTCGTGTTGCCTGTCCACCCGAAGTGGATTGTAATAAAGATGCACTGTACTAGATGGTACATAACACGCGACAGTGTAATTCGAGCAGACCTTTTCGATTAGTTTTAACACGCCGCGTGTTGCATATGTTTGTTTGCTCTAATTTCCTTGAATTCATTCCTCTCCCAGATCGAACTCTTCGATAAGAAAAAAGAATTTGAATTGTTTAAACAACAAAAATTTGAACAGGAACTCAAAGATTCTTTGGTCGGCAGATCCAACTGACAACCAGCTTCAAAAAAGGCCTTCCCCATACGTGGCTTGATTTGTTTGCCGTTACTAACCTGCGTATAATTTCTGAGGCATCATGTATCACGCGAACAATATTTCACCGAGCTTTTGGCGTTTTTTCACACGTTGCAACACTCAATCTTCAACCAATGAATATCAACTTCGCACTTTTTCAGATTTGTATCTCGGATTCAGAAATCACGCAAAAAATTCACAGCGATGACGTTTAAACCATGGATAGCTGGGAATTGCTTCGCACTAACAGTTAACGTATTTGCATGGATGTAACTTTTGTAATGAGCGCGTGTTTATTAAACACAACAGTCCGTCTATCGTAGCTATTTTCACAAGTAAATATATACATATTTTGAATAACGGCGTTGTTTGTGGGATTCGCGACCGCTTCCGTGGCTTCGAAACGAATAAATCTGTCTCGTGCAATCGATTGTCATTTAGGTGTGTGTTATAATTGAGGGAACGCCTCTGTTATAATTGCGTAGATGCCTGGTAAGGTTGTCACTGTCACGGTTGGAGCACGCCTACAGTAACCCCTTGGAACGCTGGCCGATCGGACGGATTTGCACTGACCTGATGGCGTTAGCTTAGCCCGGGGTACGCGCTGGTGAGACGGAAATAGAGCGAGCGTGAGAACGATCTTAACCGCACGTATTCGGATAGACGCTGAGCCCTCGGAACGGACACACACGAGAGGGGTTACGGTAGACGCGCGCTAGTGACTTAGACGCAAACGCTGCCCCGCTATCGACGCACACAAAAGCACGTGACCGACTGACTCCCAACTAAGGCGAAGAGGAAAAAAGGCAAGTGGTCCTCTGAAGGCTCTTTTACGGTCAACAAAAGGCAAATCACAGCCATGCCATGGGTCATTAAGTTGGAGAAAATAGCTACCACGACGGGGTGGTAGTTTGCAGAAGATTGTCAGCAGGTGCGCAGTTGGGCCGCGTCTCGGGCTGACTGAACACTGCTACGTTGTGGGGAGGAATTGGACCCCACTTCCCGCAGCCATTCTGCCGGAGTTTCTGGTGCGTTTTTGCGGGGATATTTGACGGGCCCGCAACAGTGTGTCACCATGACGTCCATCAGGTTGTTTCACTGAGTCAGGGACCGAAGGCCCTGTGGTCTTTGAGGTAGTTCTCCTCATCCTTTAAGAAGTTAGTCAT